GGGGGGGGGGATAGTTTGCAATCAAAATAAAAGTTGTGTAAGGAAATCCATTCAACTTCAATCTCGGGGGTAAGAAAGTGTGACAGTTTGTGACAGGGGGAGGGGGGGTCAGGCCATGTGTGAGTCACACATTTATTTTTAAAAATTTTATTTCTATTTTATTTTTTTAGTAGAATTTAAAAGCTTTAAAAATAATGTTAAAAAATGTTGTGAAACATTTGAATTAGTTTTTATATTGGTCAATTTGGCCGGGGGGGGGGATAGTTTGCAATCAAAATAAAAGTTGTGAAAGGAAATCCATTCAACTGCATTGATGTAAATTAACACAAGTAAATAAACAGGATATAGTCTTCCCATGTGTTTCTTAAGAATGAGAAAAGGTCTTAGGGGCCGTCCATAAAGTACGTCACGCTATTTTTGAACATTTTAACCCCCCCTCCCCCCTGTCACAAACTGTCACAAATCTCGGACACCCCCCCCTCCCTAAAGTACGTTACACTTTTGAACAATTTTTTTAAATTAACAGCTAATTAAAATTTAATCTAAAACACACGTCACTATTAAACTGTATTAAAATATAAAATCTCCACTCAAAAGAGCTATAACATTATTAAAATGACTTTAATGGTAGAATAGTTAATTGTCAACAGTTGCCACAGTTATTCATTGAATCATTAACTCAATCTAGATTGAATTTGAAAACAAAAATTGCAAAAATTAGACTAGACAGTTATATAATACACATCATTTATCTGCTGCTTTTTCCATTTACAATAGGGGCCACCCATAAAGTGCGTCACGCTCCAGGGGAGGGGGTGTAAGAAAGTGTGACAGTTTGTGACAGGGGGAGGGGGGGTCAGGCCATGTGTGAGTCACACATTTATTTAAAAAAAAATTATTTCTATTTTATTTTTTTAGTAGAATTTAAAAGCTTTAAAAATAATGTTAAAAAATGTTGTGAAACATTAATTTGATTTAGTTTTTATGTCAAATAACATGAAAGGCGTATCTCCTGAATGTGTTGTTCACGATTCCTCTCGCTAGGAGCGCTAGTATGCTGTTGCGAAGCCTTGTTTTATGTATAGCCTTGCTTTCGTCATGGCGGAAGTATTATTATTTCAATGTTGTCCGCTGCCTTATTGTGTCACTGTCCATTTTATTATTTAATCACTGGGTGAGGTCAAGTCTCGCTAATCTACTTCTTATCCTGTGTAAAAAGATTGCATGATCGGAAGATTATCTAACACTTGAACTCACCTATGGGGCCATCCATAAATTACGTCACGCTATTTTTGACAATTTTACCCCCATCCCCCCTGTCACAAATTGTCAAACTTTCTTACACCCCTTCCCCCCCCCCCCCCCCCCC